GTAAAGGTGCATAAGCTGGTCTGAACATCTGATCATAAAAAAAAAAAAAAATAATAATAAATATTGAAACAAATAATCAGTATATGAAATTCTATATGGTTATTACCCAACATTTTAAGATGGTAAAAACTAAATATATAATTGAACAAAAAAACAATGGGAGCCTCTCTTCCCTCTCTCTCTCTCTCTATCTTTGCTAATCTCCATCTCTCGATGAAGTTACAGTAACTAAAAGATTCATTCATTTTGTTTTAGAATGACATGAAAAAACATTAGAGTAAAAGTAAATCTAGTATAAATTTGGAGGATATATAGTTAGAAAAATGTGGTACATATTTATAATCGCATACTTGCAGTATAAAATCAAGATACTAGTTGGAAAGAATTGAATAGCACAACTGAATCTATTCACACTTTCAAATTAAATGAATCACAGCTGAACCTACTTAAAAATTGAAGGTCCTAGTCAAGATTCAAGTTAATATATAATTTTGACTATTATGTCCAATTATTAGAGGTTGATTACTACACTTCTTTAAACCAAAGTCAGATTGACCCTGATCTTGGTTCAAACCTTTGATACTTCTACTTTAATGAGTAAAAGACTATGTGTATCGATAGTAATAGTTATATACTCATGATAAAGGATATGTGACTAATAAATGGTCATATAGTGGATTATAATTTGCAAATTAGGCGACCCAATTTCAAATTTATCAGAGAGATTTAGAACTACCGTAATTTACACAATAGAGTAGAACTGATTAGTATATTGTTTATATTTCTTATTCCTCAAACAATGTTTTTAGTCAATCCAATCAGCCGTCTTGATTATTGACATTACTATCATTACTGCCAAAGCTCACATTAATCAGTTCTGGAAGCTGTAGCTTGTTTTTTTCCAGTTCTGATAAGTCTTGAGCTTATTGAAAACTATAAGATTAACGTGCTATCGTTTTCTTACCTAATTTGTGGCCTGTAACAATTCCACCGAAATTATACAGAAAAAAACCCAAAGAGAGCTTACATCGTCTGGTTCATAAAAGTTTCTAATGCATACTGACACAAACATAAGTTGGAGAGTATAGTTTTACATAGTGAACCATGTAATGTAAATAAAATTGGCATGTATTTTCCAAGTATTGAAACATGAATTATAGCAAATGTGCCATTCTATAATATCAGATCAGTTAACATTTTTCTTTGTGAATTTTTTTTTTTAATTTTTTTGTTTTCAGGGTTAAAAAGTTGGAAGAGGAGCCTATGCTTGAGTATGTGAGATCGTTCAATATATGCATAGAGTTGTTATGTGGTTTTATAATGAATGGTGTTACAGCAAGGTGGTCTTTGCCCACATATATACAAAACGTACCAGTTTACACCTTGTAATTAACTAGTAAGTCTTATTACACTTTTATAAGCATTAATTGGCAGCCATTACTCTATGTGTTAGCTTGTAACTACTTTAATGCAGTAGCAATATATGTTTCTCCTCACCAACAGACAACTCTTCACAATTGAGTAGTGATTTTGCATGAAATTTATTGAAATAGTTGTCTACTCAATAAATGTATGGCTTTTAAGATCTAGAAAGTCATGAAACTGAATCCAGGGTTTTTGTATTGAGGATGATTTGTAGGACTCAAAAAATATGCTTTTGGTTGTGTAAATTCAGAAACAACCAAGAGCAATTTTAAGTTTCTTTATAAACAACAGGCCAGGAAGTGAAATTTCCATGGAAAATTATAACTAATTTAAGCATGACCAGCCTGTTGAGGTTCTTAACTGGGGCTTAAAGCACATGAGGTTCTTCTTTAAATATATGAGGTTAGAGAAGAAAACCCTTTTAAGTCTTTCTGGAAGTCAAGTCAAGTCAAGTGTGGTCACAATTAACTTTGCTTTCTGGTTAGAAAGTGGGGCGGTCCGTGCTGTGAATACTCTTGTAGCTTTTAGCTTTGTCGTTGTCTTGTCGTTATCTTTATATTAACTTCATTGGATTTGATTTTTTGTTTTTTTTTTTTTTTTTTTTTTTGGTAAATCCGTAATTATCGCATTGGTACATAAATACAGACTTGGAGATAATTAATTCCAATAACTAAAGGTTTTTGAGGTGATTTCTGGTTTTGTTTAGCCTAGCCCATTAATCAATTAATCTGAACTAAATCGGTATCACCAAATCAAGTGTTCAATATCATAAATGTTTTCAATACAGAAATTATTGATCCAGGGTTTGTTGTTACCTATATAAACATATTATTCATTTTTAGATATTATTAAATGATTATTCAGATTTTATTTCAAACTTTATGACCTTAAGTTTTATGTGATTATGACTAGTTTATCGAATCTAAAAATATAATCAAGTGTTAATCTTCTTGTTATACGTTAACTCGCTACGTCATTACTTATCAACTGAACCATAAAAATAATTATTTTTGGACCATTGGATCCGCTAGTCCAGCTACCCCAGCAAAGTAGAAGAAGATAGCATTGAAGAACTTCCCCCAACCTAAAGGCAAAAACATGAAAATAGCACCTGTAGCTTTCGTCCATATTCACTGTATTAATAGTTGAAAAAAGAAGAACAATCCATTCCAAAAATGTGGTTTTTGAGCTAAATGAAGAAGGTCATTTTCCATGCGTTATAATCACTTTTCGAAGTTATTTTTCCTTCAACTTGCTTCAAGAATCCAGACATATACCAATATCATATCAAATCTGCCGTAATATTAAAGGTTCATATTGCCCATTAACATGGATTAATTAAAAATTTTATGAAATTAATTTAAGGATTGATTTCTTGAATTAATGGTCTTCGGGAAGTACATTTATTCCATGGAGAGTGAAGGTGAAATGCCAAAGGCAAAGGCAAAGGCAAAGCCGAACAAAACTGGCACTTAAAGACAATATGAAACTTCAAACAGCGTTATTATGATAGGTCAGAACAGCGTTATTATGATAGATCAGAGGCATATACTGGAAAATGGACCCATTTCACAAAAATGTCTTGCAAATTTGTATCAAACTATCAATCCTTCTTTTCAGTGTCTTGTATTTTCAATTGATCAAAGATTTGTATGATCATGGAAGAAAAAGAAAAAAAAAAAAAAAGGAATTATTCTTTTTCTTTTTATCTTCCTGCTAATGGAAATTTTTGTATTATTATCCCACTGTCATGCATCAGAAATCGAGAAATCCTGACCATTGTATAAAGCAAGTATATATGCAGATATTTGATGAGTTGATTTATATAGCAGATCATGAATCATGATATCAGATTTTTTTTGTCTTCCACTTTGGGCTTGTATTAATGGTATTAATCATCATTCTCCATCCACCTTAGGTGTACCTCAGTTTTCCTTCATTTTAAATTCATGTCCACTAAAAAACTATGGATTCTTATAATTAATTCTTATTATTAGATTTTCGTAATATAGGGTCCAAGTCTAGAACAGCAAAAGATCACAAGCCTACAGTGGCAAAAACAACGCGCTTAGTTGATTCAATTTTTAATTAATTGATAATAATTAGAAGTTTAATTAATTTAAATTTTGGACCCCATATCCGCTGCAGCGAAAGGAAAAGGTATTGGCCTCTTCTTTTGGCTGTATCTTGAGATAAATTAACTTTTTAATCAAAGATAGAATGAAAACAGTACTCAGTCTCTGTCTTCCTATGTAGTCAACCTTAAATGCGAGAAAAACCATGTTCATCCTGTTAAATTCCATCACTCAGATTTTATTTTAATCACATTTTAGCATGAGATGCATGCATTATCATCAATATCAGTCATTTCCCTATCTCTGAATCCGCCAATCTTCAAACAAAATCAAGTAAATCCCAGAAATTAATTTTGAAAGGTTGAAATATTACCCACCACTCTCTTTTATGATACTCATTACTTACCAAAATACATACATATATATATATATATATATATTACCCACCAAAAATATATATATTGATCATCAGGAATCATCAATAATGACACTTATAATAATATACCACGTCCTTTCTTTATTATTGGTCATTATTTTTGCGACTGCAGAGCCAAATATAATCCAAATTAGTATTGCTTTAGAACATCAGTTTTCTTAATATGTTTCTATATATGTAGAATTGTTTTCTTTCGGAATAAGAATATAATTGTGTTCGGAATTAAAATAAATTTTTATTAGAATATGAGATTTGAATCATATTAGAAATGATATCTCATGTATTACCAATAAAAAGTGGTTTAATCCTAGAGTTACACAATCGAATAGAATAGAAGACAATATATACCACAATTTGAGAGTGAGAGACACCAAAAAGAGGTTTAGTGAGAGAGTCAATTTGTGAGGCTTGTGAGAGATCTTTATAATTTTTTTTTCTTAGGAAAATAAAATGGACGTAACTCTCATACAGAGAGCAAACTACTGTAAATATTTTATTTGTGTATGGTTATTTATTTATTTATTCTTTGTTTACTTTACTTTCGTTTTCATAGGGATTTAGGATTTGTTAGCATCTAAATTAAATTTCCACAACAATTATTGCTTTTTGGTGGCGGTAAGTAGATTATGGTGTTAATAAGATTTACAGTTGTAAGCTTTACAGATCAAAAACTCAGCACTTCTAGAATCCCTTTTATTCCTACTCCTTTACTTAATTCAATTCTATATATTACAATGCTACGCTCTAGGTTACTCATAGATTAATGATTATATAGATATATACACATAAAACGAGTTAATTAACAAGTAAGTCGATCATGAGTTCCATTCAATGTGATCATAGATTTAAATGAAAAAATGATAATCATAATGATTGTATTGATGATAATATAATGGAGAATGACCATATATTATTAGATTAAAGAAATAATAGTTAGTGAAAGTAGTGTCAAAGAAAAGAAGAAATAGAAAATGAGAGAGAAGAAGAAAAAGGGGAACAAAAGCACCTTCATAGGGCCCATTATATGTCTCCTCAGTAGACCCTAAGATGTGATTTTCGTCTTTCTCTCCACTGCACTACGACTCTTCTCTCTATTCTTTCACCTCCTCCTATTTTCCCATTATCTAACTTCTGTTTTTATAATTTCGTACCAAAAAATACCTAAAAAAAGGAAAAAAAATTCATTACCTACCTATTTCTCTCTCTGTCTTTCTCACCAAAAAATATAATCATGTCTACTGCTATTGTTAAAGATTCTGCTGAAGGTTCTTCACGATCGACGACGAACAACGTTAACGACCAGCATCAGCATCAGCACCCACCACAACCGCCGCCTTTGAGCCGATATGAGTCTCAGAAGAGGCGTGACTGGAACACTTTTGGGCAGTACTTGAAGAACCAAAGACCTCCCGTTTCACTATCACAGTGTAACTGTAACCATGTGCTTGATTTTCTTAGGTATCTCGATCAGTTCGGGAAGACTAAGGTTCATCTTCATGGGTGTGTCTTTTTTGGACAACCCGACCCGCCTGCACCGTGTACTTGTCCTCTAAGGCAGGCGTGGGGGAGCCTTGATGCACTGATCGGACGCCTCCGAGCTGCTTATGAGGAGCACGGTGGTTCTCCTGAAACAAACCCCTTCGGTAATGGAGCTATTCGGGTTTATTTGCGCGAAGTGAGGGAGTGTCAAGCTAAGGCTCGTGGGATTCCTTATAAGAAGAAAAAGAAGAAGAAGCATCAAATCAAGGCCATCGACGAGGCTAAGTCTTCCAAACAATCAACTTAGTAGAGCTTCGGCTTCTTCAAATAAATGGTAATTAATTTTAATTTCTTTACACATACTTAATTTACTTCTTTATAATCAACTGTTTAGTTCAACCAAACTAGCGAGAACAAAATATGGCGACAAATTAATTGATTTCGGTACATCAATTCATTCAAAAAAATATATATATGTGATACTGAAACACAAAATCACTCGTCTTCATCAGTAAATTGGACATTAATGATTTAATAAAGATCTAATTGAAGAGATAAGTCTTATTATGTGGGAGGGGAAAGCCATGAGTCTTCATAAAACCTAAACCCAGAAAGTAAAACCCTAACCTCTGGATATTCAGTCGAGAACTGAGAGAACTGTGGTACGTAAATTTGCTTTGACATGTTTTACCCTGATTAATATTTGATGCCATTGATTAGAGGGCAAGAATATATAGTCTCTCTCTCTCATCATCCAAGACACTGTTTGTGGCTTCCTAATTAAATATTTGTATTGTTCACTTTCCTTTTGTTTTTGGCTCTTTTGCGATTCTTTGCGATTTTGTGCTCCCCATGAATGACCATGTGATATATCATACGTTGCATGTGAATTATATACACATTGACGTGGAAATTAACGTTTATACATTCATATTATATATTTTAACATCATCATCTAGGACAACATTTGCTTATAAATATATATATTTATTTGCTTCACACAATTATTGATTTCTTTTTGTCTGGTGGAACTCTATATAAGGACTCTTATTATATATATATGCGTTTGTATTCTCACTGTTACCAATCATTGGTTTAACTGCTATGAATCTTCTGTTTGTTTGTCGCTTTACTAGAATGACATGCAGATCTAATGAAAAGCACTGAAGAGTAGTAAACTTATAACTATGATGATGTTGCCTATGTGCATTTGGATCTATTTGTGTCAGATTTCATAAGAATCTCTAAGCAATTATCCTATGTATAGCTCAAGTTAGATGATCATTTTGTTTAAATAGGTCAGTTCACATTCCAAATCAACAAATTTCTCAAGTGAAAATTATAAAAAACGTGTGAACAGTACCCAAGTTTAGTAGGATTATAACTCAGATGAACCAGCTAGCATTTGTCCAAAGAAGAAACCCTTGCAGCGGGGAGGTAGCCTTTAAATGATATTAGGTAGTGTTGTGACATAGATTTGTTATCATATCTTCACGGTGAAAGACTTTTTAATTTAAAATACATTGTGAGATTTCCTTGTCTTCCTTGAGGCTGCACGTCCGTCCTTTTTTTACATTGCTTGTTTATATAGAAAAGCTTCAGTATTTGTCAAGACTAGCTACTTATGCTATCATCAAATTTCACCTCTTAACTACGTACATGCATGTCAAATTACTATGTTTGCCACTTCTTAAACTACTTTGTCTCTTGATATCCCACAAGCCAATGCTAAGTTATTACAATAGCCAATTCCATATATTCACGTAGCTAACGGTTGGAATATTGTGGCTCATTTTTCTATTTATTCCCATATGAAATTGTATGTCTTTAAAATAACTATTTAATAAAGAATACAATGGTAAATATGAATATAATTTATGAGTTTTATTAGAAATTGAAATATGAATTCTACCAGAATTAGAATATCTCATATACTAGTAATGGGAACCAATTCAAGGTTATAAAAGAATGTGAGAACATATAGTATTTGATATAATGATTATTAAATACTACGAAGAGAATGTCTTAGAAACTGGGATAGTTTTCATTCTAGGTACTGGGTTCATTGTTTCTGCTCTGTTTTAATTCCATATATTCACGTAGCTAACAAAGCAGCAAGAAGGAATATAAATTCACAATTGTGATTTGCCAAAATCTCTCCATGGTTATCTTGGTATATATATTTCAAGTTATATAGTCTTTTTTTTTCCCTTAATGTAAACCTTTTTTTTTTTTTTTTTTTGGGTAAACGTCTTTAGTTTTCATTTTTGTAAATTCAAACTCCTATACATTCACTATCATTACTAATACTTAAATATATATTTTTGTATTCTTTTGACATGAAAAACTTTGTCAATTTTTTTTTAGAGTTAACTGACAACTATAAACAAATATCAAGGTTAAAAAAAAAAAATACAAATGTCTACACCTCTTGTCCATGTTCTTCCCGTTCAATGAAGATAGCAAGTCATTAGGATTGCCTAATATAGTTTATTACTTTACTCCCTCTTCTGGTTGCTGCGTATAATTGTAATCTCCAATGGTTTAGAAGAGGGAATGTGCGAAGTATAATTCTCTACATTTGCTTCTAAAAACTACCAAAGCCAAAGGAGAGAGAATTTTTTACAATACTTTAAGGATTTAATGGTTTTTTTTTTTTTTTTTTCCCCGATCTTTTTCCTTCACCATTTTAAAGATATAACTAGAGCTTAAGTATTTAGAGCCAATATAGACGATCTTTGCTTCTAGACATATATGCTGATTACATGCCCATGAATCTGTAAATATAATATATATATCTTGGAAGTTGTTGACATCATGCATGATTTTTGTCTACTTCCTAATAATGAATCAAATTTGTGAGAATGCTTCTTAATAATATTGTTAATGATAGAATTTATACAAGAAAAATCAGCAAAAAGAATCTAAAAACAANTGTATTCTTTTGACATGAAAAACTTTGTCAATTTTTTTTTTTAGAGTTAACTGACAACTATAAACAAATATCAAGGTTAAAAAAAAAAAATACAAATGTCTACACCTCTTGTCCATGTTCTTCCCGTTCAATGAAGATAGCAAGTCATTAGGATTGCCTAATATAGTTTGTTACTTTACTCCCTCTTCTGGTTGCTGCGTATAATTGTAATCTCCAATGGTTTAGAAGAGGGAATGTGCGAAGTATAATTCTCTACATTTGCTTCTAAAAACTACCAAAGCCAAAGGAGAGAGAATTTTTTACAATACTTTAAGGATTTAATGGTTTTTTTTTTTTTTTTCCCCGATCTTTTTCCTTCACCATTTTAAAGATATAACTAGAGCTTAAGTATTTAGAGCCAATATAGACGATCTTTGCTTCTAGACATATATGCTGATTACATGCCCATGAATCTGTAAATATAATATATATATCTTGGAAGTTGTTGACATCATGCATGATTTTTGTCTACTTCCTAATAATGAATCAAATTTGTGAGAATGCTTCTTAATAATATTGTTAATGATAGAATTTATACAAGAAAAATCAGCAAAAAGAATCTAAAAACAAAAAAGAGGAAAGAGTAAAGATTTGTGCAACAAATCATGTGATTGGTCACTTCTGTGATGTATTTTAGAGCAAATGTAACAATATTTACCTAAACTGAAAATATGTTTGTTAATGAATTGCATTTTTATTAACAATTATGATCAAATATTGAAACAAATAATTACCTTTGGGTAGCCGAGTGGTTCGATAGAGACTCTTAAGTGTATTATTCAATAGGTCATGAGTTTAAGTCTCTCTTCGGTTGCTAATAGGGGTATTACTAGAGTTATTACCCGACTGATAGTTTTAGAGTTCCGAAAGATTAATTAAGATGCACATAAACTGGTATGAATACTCATGATCATAAAAAAAAAAATAATAATAATAAATATTGAAACAAATAATCAGTATATGAAATTCTATATGGTTATTACCCAACATTTTAAGATCGTAAAAACTAAATATATAATTGAACAAAAAAACAATGGGAGCCTCCTCTCTCTCTCTCTCTCTCTCTCTCTCTATCTTTGCTAATCTCCATCTCTCCGATGAAGTTACAATTAACTAAAAGATTCATTCATTTTGTTTTAGAATGACATGAAAAATAACATTAGAGTAAAAGTAAATCTAGTATAAATTTAGGAGGATATATAGTTAGAAAAATGTGGTACATATATATAATCTGCACTACTTGCAGTATAAACTCAAGATACTAGTTGGAAAGAATTATGATATAGCTCAACTGAATCTATTCACACTTTCAAATTAAATGAATCACAGCTGAACCTACTTAAAAACTTGAAGGTCCTAGTCAAGATTCAAGTTAATATATAATTTTGACTATTATGTCCAATTTATTAAGAGTTGATTACTACACTTCTTTAAAACCAAAGTCAGATTGACCCTGATCTTGGTTCAAACCTTTGATACTTCTACTTTAATGAGTAAAAGACTATGTGTATAGATAGTAATAGTTATATACTTCATAATAAAGGATATTTGTGACTAACAAATGGTCATCTAGTGGATTTATAATTTGCAAATTAGGCTGACCCAATTTCAAGTTTATCAGAGAGATTTAGAACTACCGTAATTGTATTTTCACATTTATAAAACTATGTGTTGATCAATGAGGTGATAATTATTAATAGTATATGATTTATATGTCTGGATATTATTTCTGATACCATTGTTCTTGATTGTAACATTTTTGTGAACTGTGGTTTGAGTAAATTACGCAATAAGAGTAGAACTGATTAATGTCTTAGTTTATATTTCTTATTCCTCAAACATGTTTTTAGTCAATCCAATCAGCCGTCTTGATTATTGACATTACTATCATTACCTGCCAAAGCTCACATTAATCAGTTCTGGAAGCTGTAGCTTTGTTTTTTCCAGTTCCTGATAAGTCTTGAGCTTATTGAAAACTATAAGATTAAACGTGCTATCGTTTTCTTACCTAATTTTGTGCCCTGTAACAATTCCACCCAGAAAATTATACAGAAAAACCCAAAATAAAGAGCTTACATCGTCTGGTTCATAAAAGTTTCTAATGCATACTGACACAAACATAAGTTGGAGAGTATAGTTTTACATGGTGAACCATGTAATGTAAAATTTGGCATGTATTTTCTAAGTATTGAAACTGAATTTATAGCAAATGTGCACATTCTATAATATCAGATCAGTTAACATTTTTTTTTGTGAATTTTTTTTTTTTAATTTTTTTTTGTTTTCAGGGTTAAAAAGTTGGAAGAGGAGCCTCTGCTTGAGTATGTGAGATCGTTCAATATATGCATAGAGTTGTTTATGTAGTTTTTTATAATGAATGGTGTTACAGCAAGGTGGTCTTTGCCCACATATATACAAATACGTACCAGTTTACCACCTTGTAATTAACTAGTAAGTTCTTATTACACTTTTATAAGCATTAATTGGCAGCCATTACTCTATGTGTTTAGCTTTGTAACTACTTTAATGCAGTAGCAATATATGTTTCTCCTCCACCAACTCAGACAACTCTTCACAATTGAGTAGTGATTTTGCATGAAATTTATTGAAATAGTTGTCTACTCAATAAATGTATGGCTTTTTAAGATCTAGAAAGTCATGAAACTGAATCCAGGGTTTTTGTTCATTGAGGATGATTTTGTAGGACTCAATAAAATATGCTTTTGGTTGTGTAAATTCAGAAACAACCAAGAGCATATTTTTAAGTTTCTTTTATAAACAACAGGCCAGGAAGTGAAATTTCCATGGAAAATTATAACTAAATTTAAGCATGAGCATCCTGTTGAGGTTCTTAACTGGGGCGTTAAATGCACATGAGGTTCTTCTTCTAATCCATATATTGAGGTTAGAGAAGAAAACCCTTTTAAGTCTTTCTGGAAGTCAAGTCAAGTCAGGTCAATTGTTTGGTCGCGATAAAATCATTTTGATTCTGGTTGAATACCTCTTGTGTATGCTTTTAGCTTTGCCTTTGTCTTTATATTGACTTCATTGGATTATGATTTTTTTTTTTTTTTTTTGGTAAATCTGGTAATTATCTCTTTGGATATAATTAATTTCGAGATGACTAAAGGATTTTTTATCCGACCACAAGGAAGAGGTGATTTCTTGGTTTTGTCTTTGCTTAACTCATTAATCAATTAATCTTGAACTAAATCAGTATCACCAAATCAAGATTCAATATCTAAATGAGTTCTTACAATACGGAAATTTATTGATCCAATGTCAATTTCTCGTATGTGTAAATTAATAATTATTTTTAACTAGGAAATAAGGAAAAAAATAAAAGAAGAACAAATAGCAATTTCCCAAGGTTATGCATAGGATATGATAGGATAATTCAAATAATATTATACATACAATATTCTCATACAATATTATATAACAAAAGATGATTGAGAGAAAGTTTAATTCTAATTTAAAATCAATTAATCATATTTTAACATATAATATTATATAAAAATATTGTATGTGTAATATTACTTGTATAATTGATTGAGTGAATTTGTTTTCAACTAGTGATAGTGATAGTGCCCATACAACACAAATAAAATTAAATACAGTAACACGGAAACCAAACAGATATCCCACAATGTCATTGCCAACTTCGGTTGTCCATAAGTAGGAGATAATATACATTGGTGAGGGCAAAAGTGATAAGCTTGCTGCTATTAAAATAAGATTCCAGTTCTGAATAAACATCCCAATATTTCCATCAAAACCGACGAGACATAGAACCCAACCAAAAAAATAAAAAATCTTACTAATACTCTATAATTTCTTTTTGGAATATTAAAAGTAAATCCTCTCTGAGTAGTCGAGTAATTCGATGAGGATTCTTGGATGTATTACTTAAGAGATCTCGAATTCGAGTCATTCCTTGATTGCTAATAAGAATAACCATTGAAACTCTTATCCGACCGATAATTCTAGAGACCTGAAAAATTAATTAAAGTACACATAAACTGACCTGAACATCTCAATCATTAAAAAAAAAAAAAAAAAAAAATGCAAATCCTCAAACACTATCCACAGATAACATTGATTACATAAAGCGGGTTCACATATCAAATTGGAATTCTCAAAAATGTAATTATAGGAGACTAATAAGATAAGAAACTTCAAACATCATCAGATGATAGCATCTGAGAAGAACGATTGTGAATAAACCTAATCTTGTACATTGCAAGATTAACTTACAAAGTTAGCTATTCAAATCACAAGTCTTACCACTAAAATCAGACATTGAGTCAGCCAACCTTTGGCCAATTCCAACGGTACAAAGTAAATTATAATGATCAAATGAAAAACCATAAGACAAGGGAAGATAAGAAGGAATTGAAACAGTTCCAACATTTTATCCAGCTAATAGCTGGTAATTCTGAGGCAAATATTAGCTGGAACCATATGTACTTTGTTGGGATATGAGTATATAATCAAGATTCTTCAAATTTGGCCGTCAGATAAACACTGTCAAAGCTCTCCTCAAGATGGCTAGCTATACATATCTGTAAGACAAAACAATGAAACAATTTCAAGAGTCCTGTTTTCAAAAAGGCGAAAATGACATTTACCAAAATAAACAAGAAAATGGAGAGCAGCATGCCATTAGTTCTACTTGTTCCTCTCCTCACTCAACAAGCAAAAGCATATATTTAGGTTTTTGTTCCGTCAAATTCAAACGGGAAGAACTTGAACATCATCTGTCCAGTCTTCACAGACAGTAAACAACCAGATCAATAGAGTTTTGAAATGATCATACTCCAATTGAAATCCATAACTTTAACCAGATTATACATGAAATAAATTAAGACATTAAACATGGATCCAGACATTTGAAGAATCAATCAAGCAGAAACCAGGATCACATGAAAACACATCCTGTGCTAAGAATCATATATTGCCACTTGCAGGCTAAAACCCATATCCATATGTAATAAGTCACAATGTATCCACCATATTCCATCAGATGCAAGTATATACATCTGGAACAATTCTTAACGTTTGATAACATAAATAAACCAAACAATGATGCAGATGCATAATTTACTTCAATACATGTTTGCCATAATAATCAAGACTACCTAAATAAAAGGGTGGGTTTATTAATACATATAACGATTCTCAATAGCTTTTGACTAAGTATTAAAAAGAACAACAATTGAGATTTACAGAATCAATCCATCGGATCATTTTGAAATGTTCCTCCATCTTCTTTGATGGCTATTAGAACCACAAAATGTCTGAACCCAAAAGACCTTCACTTATTCATTTCATGCCTGAATGGTTCAAAGCTCATCTAAAAAGGATTCATCATTAAACTACAAAACAATATAAACAAAGACATTGAATAAGGATCTGCATCCAACAAATCAAACATCAATCCTTCACTCATTAGAGAGCACAGAATGCCAAATGCAAGCACCAAAACAATTTATCAACAGAATGTGCATAACATTGTTCAGGATCTGTTCTTTGCTCCATATATGCAATTACCATTAAAAAATTTCAACAGGAAGTCATAAAATTGTTCAAGATTTGTTACTGCTCCAAATAACTGATATAACTCCATATAAGGCCCAATGATCTTCCAATAACAACCTTATAAGAAATTATGAAGATAACGATTCAGAATGCTGGACCATTAATTATATTCTGCTCCTTACAAATGCAGAGATGGTTAAAAAAATTTCATTTAGTAAAGAGAAAGGTAGAGAATTAAGATAAAGAATGAAATGAGAGAATATATGTCTAAATAGAACAAATTTTCAATGATATAAAAAAGCAAATATCGTTTGCCATATAATCTGCCAATACAACTGAGATAAACTATCCTTCACAATACAGTAATCTCCAACGATAAACATTTCTCGACAGCCAAAGCAAGTCTGTCTTAAACTCATCCATGTAAAAGCCTACACCTTATAGCTAATCCATCTAGAGTGGAAATTATCTCCATCAAACGGAAGGATCATCACAAATTGAGGTCCAAAATAACCAAAAATTTTAAATAATCAATGTCTATCCAACAGAATAGGCAAACTCCCTGAAACACATGTCTAGAATAAAGCAAACATTTTAACAAGGTATTCCCCATATAATTTTTATGGCACTCGAGAAAGTACTTTATAGCAGTAGAAGCTCAGACTAAAAATCAAATCCAATTTGTAGAAAGCAGTTTCATCAGAAGAAAAAAAAAATCCTTAATCAAACAATGTACTCAACAGAACAGTTCAAATATTGTAAGACTCTAAACATCAAATGCAAGTTATCTCATCAAGGATCACAACTACAAGAACATAAACCATATAATTGCAATCATCTACCTATCGTCATGTAAAAACACAATATTAAGATAGTTCATCTCCAAAGTAATGCAAACATAATAACAAATCAAAAGGCATTGGACTACCAAACACGGTCATCTGAAAATCCCAAAATTAGTCCACCTCAAGAACTGATGGAATCTAAAACCTAAGACAAAAATTTAGACCATATTGATTGTTAGTCCATAAATTTGAGCATCTCTAAAATGTGCTCAACAGATTTAACTTTAGTCTAGTTCTAAGAACAAAAATACAAGTAGGATTAAACGTAAATACAACAATTAAAGAGATGAAGCCTTTGGCATGGCAAGTCAAATAAAATAATCATTTGAATTTCTTAAACTCAACAAAATTGCCCTAATATGATTTGAACTTTCATTCTATAGTGCCATACAATGCCCAACCACACAAACACAATGCTCAAAATTAAACTACACAACAATAGCTAATAACAAGAGCCTATCAAGAACAGAACAACTTTTTTACAAAAACTAAGAAATTAACCATCTATTTAATAAGTGATATCTCTCACCATTGGGGCTGGACCGCTTGGAACGCTTGTTCCTCTCCAACTGAACCTGCATCTCGGTAAACATCCTCAGCCTCTGCATCTCCAAATCACTTGCAAACTGCATTCTCTGCTTCTCCAACTCCACCATCTGTCTCAACTTCTCCGCCTCCACTCTCTCATACACTTCCCCAAACCTCTCTATCGCCTTGGCCAATCTCTTAACACCAAAATTCTCTTCATTCTCATTCTCTTCCTCTTCCGCCTCCTCCTCTGCCTCTTCCTCCTCACTCTCCGCGGCAGCTGCTGCAGCAGCCACAGCCGAATAATTCCTATAATACCCCTCGCTGTTATATCCTCTTTTCTGCGGCAAGGCCACAACCGTCGCCGCGGGAATTGGCGTCAAATTAGGACTACTAATATTATGGTTCATATTATTGTTATTGTTAATGGCATGCGTTTTCCGGTACGACAACGGAACGGCAACCGGAGGAGATTGTGATAATTTAGGAGAAAAATTTGACGACGCTTTAACGTTACTTCCGATCAAGGCGTCCATGCGCTCGAAAAAGGGCCAAGAAGATGTTAGGGTTCCGTTCGAAGAGGTGACACGTGTCTTCTCTTGCTTGTACTTTTTCTTGATAGTATCGATCCGATTCTTGCATTGAACATCGGTTCGGTGCGTTTTCTTAGAGTGAGCGTGGAGAGCGTTGACGGCATCAGCCACATCTTGCCAATCCTTTTGACGGAGATTACCTCTGTTGAGCTCCATATAACGGCGGCCCCAGGCGTCAACGAGAGTGGAGGTAGCCTCTTCGCTCCAGCAATCTTCACGGACAGGTAACGGACGCGAGTAGGGCGCGATGGCAGTGGTGGTGGTGGTGGTGGTAGTTGACGGCGTGAGGGAGTCCGTTAAATCACCCATTGAATGTTAAAATTTGATGCGAAGGTGATTGGAGGTATGGATCGTTGATGATATGTGACGAAGAAGAAGAAGAAGAAGAAAGAGAAAGAGAGAGAGAGAGAGAATATGAGAGATATAATAGAGAGATACAGGTCGGTGCGGCGATGATGACGCGCCGGGAGCAAGAGGGAAGAAAGAGTGAAGGGGTGGGTAAGGGATGAGGAGAATAATTGAAGGGTCGCCGGGATGCGGGTAAGCGCGTGAAGAGTAAGCATAGGGTTGAACGCTTGGGTGTCATCGGATTCGGCTCGGCTACGGTCAGAGCTGGCAATTACGTTACGTTTCTTACTACTATTAGGAAAAACGCTATTGCTAGTTTGCTACTACTGCTATGTCCATTACTATATTAACTAGATTTTCTTTATTTTCTTTAATTTAATTTAATTTAGATTTAGTAATTAATTAATATCTATAAATTATAAAACACCAAATTTAAATAAGTTTTACTGGAAAAAAAGGTTTGATGAATTTTGTTTAGTCACACATATGGTAATATAGTAAACATGAGATTTCAATAGGTTTTCGGTTTAAATTTGTGTGTGAATATTCTTTATGGTAGGTATGGGTCAACATAAAGTTGGATTTATATTATTATTATTATTTTATAATCGGAGTATTCGAATAAGCTGACATGTATCTTGTCTAATTTTTAAAGTTCATTAAATACCCTATAAGTCTAATATTTCAAGTTAAACCACAAATATATGGTAGATGACCACAACCTCTGTGGTCTATATCTATTGAACACCCTATAAACCTAATATTCTAATTTAAACCACAAAAATGTGATAAATAACTCCAAGATAATTTGAATCCAAAAAGCCAATGAAGGAAGCAAACCATCATCACCAGGCCAACCTCTTGAGTTTCTATTCAGGTTTTATTACTGTTGAAATGAGCTTTCTATATATATAAAAATTAATATTATCATATTAACATGAAAAAAAATAGAAAATAGAAGTTATTTATTATTTATATTTAATTTTTTAAGGTATTTATCAACAAAATGATATAAAAATGTTTAGAAAATAAGAGGATAATTTAGCGTTCAAATTAATTAATTGATTAAGGATTACGTAAAGCTGATGGAGGAGTATTTTGGGTTGAAAAGCTCCGTTGGTAATATTGTTTGATGCAATTTGTTTTTATCCAAAATTATAATTACGGGTTTTGTTTCAGAGTCCATTTACTGGAAGTGTGAGGGCAAAAGAGGAAGGGAAATTGGGCGGTTGCGTCAATGTGGGGATGAAATTGTTGATGAGCGGCAATGATGCGCCGGCTGTCTGACAGATGCGTGAGCGGTACGGCTTTAGATGGCGTCAGCACTTTGGGCTTGGCTCAGCTTATGGTTCGGCTTGCACGTCGCTGTTTCTTGTCAATAGGTAGAAACCGAGTTGTAGAATTTTTATGGTTGGTTTTTAATTGAGTTCACTTTGTTTGACCGGAAACGGAACGGGGGATGGGTTTCTTTCTGGTTTGTCTGTTTTTATTCTTTTGCATTTAAACTAGTTATGGGTTTCTATCTTTCTATTGGAAGCCCATTAAATACACCTCGCAGCCCAATTACGTAGGTGTTAACAAGCATCAGCCCGTTAAATAATGTTTTAGAAACATTTTGACCATTTTTAGGCTCCATCAAATTTCTTTTGACAATTTTAACCTTAATGAAAATTATTAAAAATGACATTATAATTTCTAATTACAATCATACTCTATTTATATTTTTCTTTTAACTTTTACTTTAATTCTTAATCATAAATCCTAACTTTAAATCTTATAAATCATTAAAACATTTTTTTTATTTCAAATATTTCTTTTTTTTTTTTTAATGAAAACATATTACCTAAGTGTTTAGAGAAAATAACCACAAACGTGAGAATTTGAATATGAAGGAAAAGAATAAGTTTTGAATCAAAATTAAGAAAAAGAGGTATAAACCAAAACAAAAAAAAAAAAAAAAAAAAAAAAAAAACCTAATTAAGAAATTAGGGAAACCCTAATAAGTTTGAAATTGAGGAAAAGTTGTATAAACAAAAAACTCTAATTAAGTTTGAATTAGGGAAAAGAGACGTAAACAAGAACCCTAAATAAGCAAGGTTATTTTTGGTATTAAATGGGGTTTAAAAAGAAAAAAAAAATTAGTAAAGGTGCATTTAGCAATGGGGGGCAATTAATCAATTTGATGGGGGCTAAAAAACTACTTCCCGTCTCAATATTCACAACCTCATTATACGGAAATTATTATTGTATTTCCAATTTTTTTTAGTGTTTTTGTTTTTAAAATTGATTTACGAATTAAACATTCATTTAATAATTTCGAACATTATCTAGAATGGATAATTTTATCTACAAATATTATATAGTTTAATCAGTAACTTGATGTCCTAATATTAATTCATTAAAACTATACTTAAATATCATTGGATTCAGCTCATCAGATTTAAATTATATTTTACAACACATATCCAACAATACATATTGCATGGGCCAAAAATCATATTGAGTCTGACGAGGTCCAATAACGAAATAAACATATTACGCTCCAGTGCCTTAACCCAATTCCGGTTGGATCTATGCTTAATTCATCTTGTGAACTAACCACTCTATGAGTTAGGCTATCCTGAAGTTAAGATCAATCGGGTTTCAACCCATTAACCCACATTTATCCCAAAACACGAATCAAAATCCTATTTACTTTATACTTTAGTCAAGATCCAGAATCTTACTTAAAGTCGTAACCCTAATTCGATAAAAACAAGTCTCAAGACTTCGTTCCTAATTGAAACTCTTATACCAAATAGGACTCAAAGTCCTACTAGGACTTCAACCTACTTGGTTCACTATATAAATAGGGGCAAACTCTCTCATTATTCATTTAGAAATTACCCATAGCTTTAGCTCCTAAATTCTTGGTCTCAAGAATCACCGCTTCCCTTGCCGTAAAGATTATTTTCGACTAACTTTACCACCTTCAACCACCACAAAGCTATGATCTAGCCACTTTGTTTTAGTCTAGCCCTGGCCCTATTATAACGGTAAACCCTTCCCGCTCTCAACCCTTACTAAAGTACCTTCAACCTCACTAACTTGAGCGTCGAAGTGTTTATGGCAAACACTACACCGATGTCACCCAAGCCTTCATGTTCTCTTTCTCTCTTTGTGTAGGTCTATCAGATTGTCAATGTCTCGCTTCTCAAAAGATTTGTCCCTTCCGAATCAACCTTAGATTTTACCATTATAGTTTGGCACCCACCGTGGGGCTCTGATAATCTTTCGACTCAAAACGACCTGCTCCTTTCGTTCTTACTCCCTCCGTTTAGCCATCATGACTAGAAGTACTGAAACCCCTACACCTAATGACGCATATCAGATTACGGCTCTCGTCGCACTTGTGTAAGAGAGCAACGACAAGTACCAAACCCTTGAAGCTCAAAACACCGCTATCCGTGCATAAAATCAAGCCCTTTAAGATAAGGTAACCTTAAACCTCTATAGCCCACAACAATGTCCTTAGGCCCACGTCAAAGTTTTCTTAGGATACTGACAAGAAGGATCTCTTAAGCAGACGACCATCATGGATAGTGAACCAAGCCGCTTTGGCCTTCAGTCGGCTTGTATGATTCATGGATGACACCCATCCTTTATTACTTAGGGAATGATGAGTTTCCAACCGACAAGAATGAAGCACGTTAATTGAAGGCCAAAGTGGTTCTATTCACCATCTATGATGGTCGTCTGCTCAAAAGATCTTACTCAAGTTTGTACCTTAAGTGCATTACCCTTGAAGAAGCTAAGTGTATACTTGTTGAGCTCCATGAAGACGAGTGTGGCAACCATGTCGAGGGACATCGACTCGCCAACCGGGCACTCACGGTTAGCTACAATTGGCCCATAATGCGCTCCGACTTGGCCAACTATTTTAAACATTGTGATAGTTGCCAACGATTTGCCCAAGTGTCACACCTTCCCCCTGAGTGGCTCAACTCCATCCTCACCCCTTAGCCAATCATAAAGTGGGGAATTGACATAGTTGGAAAGCTTCCAACAACGTCAAGATAATGGGTTTACATGCTTGCAGCTATTGACTACTTTACCAAGTGGATCGAGGCCGAAAAATTGGCCTAAATCAAGGACTAAGAGGTAAACCACTTCATCTGGAAGAACATCATCTGCCGGTTTGGCCTACCAAATGAGATAGTCACCGATAATGACTCCTAATTCATAAGCTTCGGCTTCCAAGTCTTCTATAAAATGTGGGGGATCAAGCTAAGTTTCTCCACTCTACGCTACCCCTAGGCAAATGGACAAGTCGAGTCATCTAACAAGATCATCATCCAAATAATGAAAAGAACTTCAAATGGAAGTAGCCACCAATAAACTTCCACTGAAAGAGAAAAATTCCAAGACAAGAAATTAAACAACTGTAGATGTAAAAATCTACCTGTGCGGAAGGAGTGACTGATCCCGTGAGGTTGAGGCCATTAGCGATCTACTGTACCTACACACGTAGAGAAACAAACGTGAAGCGATGAAAAATACCAGGGTGGTGTTTGTCGTAGGCACTCCGACACTCAAGTCAGCAAGGCTGAAAGGCTGATTTAGTGAGGGCTAAGGAGTAGAGAGGTTACTAGAAGTTTAGCTGGGGACTGTGACTACGGCTGTGATGTGAAGTTCTCAAGCTAGAACTCCGGGGTTTGTAGATGTAGTGTAATCTGCCTTGTGAGAGGGTTGGCCTCTGTTTAAATAGTGACTGTCTAGTCTCCCAATCCTCGTGGGATTGGGAGTTCTCGTAGTGATCCATTCCCTCTTGGGATAAATCTTTTGGTCCTATTATCCCGGCGTAAAGAGGAGTCCAGGTATGACTCTGACACGGACCTTGGAGGAGTTGGAGTTGTAGTGGGCTACTTTACTTGTGTTTAGATAGGAATGTGATATGTGAGTGACCATGGGCTCTGAATTCGTTCATAGATCCAGGAAGTGAACTGGGACTAGGAGGCTTGTGTCTGGACAACTTGGGCCGACTGTACTTCGTATCAAATGAGCCTAATCCGGTGAGTTTTGGATTGGGCAGCATTGAGTTGGGCCTGGCCTTTTCCTCATTGTTAGACCTGTTTTCCCATTTGGGTCGAGGACGATTTTTAGCCCTAACAGTTTGCCCCCCACTCTCTGAGTTAAGGTTTTCTTAAGTCAGAGAGTAGGAAGCGAAAGAGACGAATTTGGTTGCCCTACCCTGGCGATCGATTGTCGGTGCAGCTGACCAGCTTGATGCGGGTGATTAGTAGTCAAAGGTCGCTCAGTATCCCC